ATTTTACTTGCCAAGTTATGACTATATAGGATTACCATTTGTTCATTATTTGCATGTTATGATAGTTGCATAATCAGTAAAATCCACACAAAATGTAAAGGATTGGTTTATTTTTTACATAACACCATTTCAGGAAATCTGTACAGATAATGCATATCTTTACGTACACACATACACGCATACATGTTCATTTTAACAAGAGTCGCACTGACAACTGACTCTGGAATTTAGACATTTTTAATACTGTTACATTCCAGTAATTTCCCTTTGGTTACTTAGACCATCCTCTGGGCATCCTCACAGCTCATTTCAGTTAGTGAATTCTTGTCAGTGGGTAACGGCCACAAATAACACCAGACAGGCATGCACATTCACACAGCCTCAGGAACAAGAGAAATTTATCATGACATTGGAAATCAAGTGACTAAATGCCAAAAATGCATGTTCAGTCAACATTTTCCAATATTGTACTTTTTATGCTGGTTGTAATAAAGCCATACAAGATGTTGGTGTTTTTTTTATTATTCATAAAAGCAATTTATGACATAAAGGTCATGTTGCCACATTTAATTAGACACATACTGGGCTGAGGAATCCCATTTCTTTTGCATGGATGTTTTAAAACAGTATCAGGCTCATATAAAAAAGAAGATATCTTGACAAACATTTAAAGCAGCTGTTTTACCTCATGCCTAAAAGGTTTCAGCAGACATAAAAACATGTTATTGTGTGACAATTAGGGAGCCAATGAGGGTGTAAAAAGTCATCTACAGAGAAGTTTTTGTGCTTTGCCATGTTGGAATCTGGTTTTTAACAATATGGCTGTACTGTAGGTCTGAAGAGTGCACTGTATTAGGGTGTTGTTCGGAAACACATGCATGCACATGAGGTACATGCACAGCAACACTTCACTATTCATGTCACTCTTCTGATGTCGGAGAATTCAATTACGCTTTGAAGGCTTATCATTTTATTTTCATCTTTGCAGAGGTACATTGCAAGTAATTTGATCAGTGTTGCAATCTTCGGTGTCTTCCACACTGAGCTGGTGTTGTCATGCTGTTAAATAATCCTTTAATGACACCCGGCATCCAACCCCCTCACGCACACAAGCTTTCCTCTCTCTCACGCGCACACTCAACCCAATCAAGTACAATGTATATGAACCATTTTGTATGAAAAAACCTGACATTAAAAGCAATAGTTGACAGCTGACTGATGAATTATGTGTCATGTGCTGTGTATTATAACTTCATTTGATTTTGTTGTCATCCCATGGAGTCTGTAAAGCACAAAGGTTATTGTGTCAAAATGTTCCTCTTTAAAACAATGTGGCTTGCCACCTAGTGTATACAATACTAAGCAAAAGTATTTATATATTTTAAACTTTTCAACTAATTTTTACTATTTGAAGAGTTTGAAATCTATAATTATCGGATTTAATGTATTTTACTGGGATTTCATATAATAGAAGCAAACAAAGTCTATAACTGGTAAATTAAAAGTTTAGATTAGTTTTTTGAGGTTTTTTTTCTCAAATTAAAATTTGAAAGTGTGATGTACCTATGTAATTAGCATTTTTAATCTGAAACTTTGAAATAATATTTCTGGGTAACCTTACTGGTAAATTATAACTATTTCACATTACCACTCATTAATCTGAATACAGTGTAACTGATGGCAATGTAATGCAACTCTCAATAAAGTCTTAAAGTGAATATCAACTGTCTACTCAGCATCCTTTCCTCTAGTATACTTGGTACAATGCAATAAAACCATCTGTTTTTGAGTTACCTCATTACTAAATACTTGTATTTGAACCTCTTCAAAATAAAATTCAATACCACAGATACTTCGACTGACATTAGTATACCCCTCTTTAACCTTATTGCATAAAAATAATCCTATAGAACCAATATCCTTTAGGAGATAAAAAATAAAATTAAATATTTGTACTCAGCCTCCTTCAAAACAGGAGCCCAATTAATTAAGAATAAAAAATTGTCCTCAGTAGTCACTTGAGGAGTAAATATATATATTCAGCCCACTTTTAAATGAATTAAACTAAATTCAACTGAGACATTTTGGCAAGGCTTAAAATATTATTTTCCATTATATTTAGCTAAGCTTGAGCTAATACGTACACATCAATGGCTAAAAACTTTAGCTCCTGGATGTGCAAAGCTGGTAATGGCGAAAGGCTTAATGAAAATAGACACCTGTCACATAGCCTTGCATTATTTGTAAAAATAAAAATAAAATTATACATCTCTCTTTTGTAAGCTATTTGGACTTGGGTCGTGTATGTCACTTAATGTCAAATAATCATAACAAATAAAAGCACTGGCTGCATACAAAAGTGCCATTAATCCTCTGCTTGGAGAAAGTTCAGTAGATTCAGAGGAGCGTTTATAATTCACGTCATGAAAGTGAACCAAGGTTCACATTTTAATCAGAAATTGTTTTAGTTTCTTGAAATCGTATTGCAAACATATTAGTAGCCTCATCTTTTTCCGAAACAGCATGTCTTTAGCTTTAACCAAATGTTAACTAAATTAACTTTTTTGCTTTATAAAATAGGGACCAAGCATACACAGCTAGCCCATCAAGCTCAAATCTAAGATTCCTTAGTACGAAAAAAAAACAACATAAAGTAGCGCAACATAATAGGTGTTTTTTTATTTTTTTTATTTTATTTTTGTTTACAAAATCCGAAAAGTGTTGCAGACATTTGTTTTTACTATCAATATCTTTCAGAAACATGCTTTTGGAGCAATTTTAGCTAAAATCATTTTCGGGTGTGTCTCTCTAACCTGGCCAGCCAGAGTGAAATTCATTCTAGTAAAGCTCAATATTAGGTATTTAATATTGTTTAAATTTCAACTGTTTATATCTATAAATTTCAGCAACTGATTGCTGTTATAGAAGACGTTTTTGTATCACATCTATAGTTTCTTGAAATCCGGCTTTCTTTGTTCCTTTCCAGAATGATATGCTGTGCCCACATATCAATCTGGCTAGCCAGGCTAGTCTGTACCTTCGTTCTATATTGCTTTTTGCACACACACAAAAAATGTTACTGGTTTCACTTGACCAACATTAGGTATGAAAGTTATTTTAATTTCTGGCTGGTAGTAAATAAAGATCACATATGGCTCCTATTGTTTTCTCACACTGTGCATGCATTTGAAAATATCAGATGGTTTTCAGATATAGACAAAATATAACAGCAGAGTTATACTTTAGTATTTTAGATTTAGCTTTTATATTATCATCATGGATGAAAAAGAAGAAGAGGAAATATTAAAATAAAGTATTCAGGAATAACCATTGTTGACCAGTTAAAAATTAAAATGTCAAGACATTCTTTATTTTCAGAATATTTTTTTATAATTCCAGCATTTCCCTCTTTTTCACCCATTCTTGAAGCAATAAATGCCCTGCCACCATAAATCACACTGTTTAATGTAAGAGATGTAAAAGCTTTTATCACCATTTTTCCCTGCCTTCTTCTTAACATTTGAAATTGTTACTTGGAACTTTAATGGCTCTCCTGTAAAAATGGTCTTCTTGATACGCGTCTTTAAACACCACGTATTGCACTACTTTGTGTTCAGTCTGATTTATGAGACCCTTACGAAAAAGTTTAAGGTTGGAATGTGTAACAAAAGGTGAATTAATGCACTTATGAAACAATGCATCATTAAAGAACAAATGATTTACCATTTGGAATGCAATTATCCACTAGAACATGTAGCAGGAAGATTGTAATTTAAATAAGTTGTGCTTTACTTTATGTGGTAACAGTGTCTCCAACACAGCTTGCAGATCCGCTGAGTGTTACAAATGATAAAAGGCCAGTAAAATAAGGTTGCTGACAGAAAGCACTCTTTAGTGAAACATAAAATCAAATTGTTACATCATTTTCCCAAACGGCACACAGATAGAAAATACAGAGAAAAAAAGGTAATAAATATTCCTCTGGTTCATCAATTCCACCTCATGCCTAAGCTCTGCATATAAGCCTCTGCACAAAACTGCAGAGAAGAAAGAAAATTTTATTAGACAATTGCCTTGAATGCATCACAAACAAGCAAAAGGAGGCAAACCAGGCTTGCTAAATCATAAAAGTAACTATGGCACTTGCCGTCATATTTAACTTTGACACTTTTTTATTAACTGTAAGGCAGTATATAAAAACAACAAAAAAATCAAAACAAAAAACACATTAAGGGAGAAGAGCTTTTTTTTTTATTTCTCCCTTCAACATGAAGTTGTGTATGTACATTTTACCCTTTATCTACACATTTCTTTGGTTTAAATCGATATATCTTCCTCAAAGTGCATCTAAAACATTATCTCTCTGTTTGAATGTGTCAATGTAAAGTAGCAGCATCATTTTCAGTGATTTTTTTTTATTTAACTATGATGCAAGTGGCCCATTGTTGCTTCTGCCGTATATGTAGTCCTGTCATTTCAACAAAAGCGGTGTGATTATATTAATGTGTTTGTTTATCAGAAAATTTTCTGTTTTTATCTGAACTGCATTTGCCTTTCATCCATCCTGCATTCTGAACGCTGTGAATACTACATCTTCTATAGTATTACTGCAGGGAGCTTTCACATTTTTTTGTACCCTAGTTAAAAGCATATAAAATGTTCTGTGAAGCATTTAAACATCAAGCAAAATGTTTGCACCAGTTACCAGTTATTTTGCCATTCCTAACCATGAGAAAACACATTTTAACATATATTTTAGGTCATTTTAGTAATAAAATATAATAAAAATCTAAATAAGTGATGAATGGCACACATAAAAATAAATGTTTTAGATGCACTTAGCCAATGTAGTTTAATGGGAAAAAAGTTTAAGTATTATCCAACAATAAACTGTTAATTTTTTCGGGATTACTGAAGCTTTATATATATATATATATATATATACATATAAGTATATCAAAAACACATTTTGAATACAATCCAATAACAATAAAACACGATTAAAAACATCAATGACACTAATTTACAAAATATTCCTTTGAAATGTCTTCAGACTCCCTCATAATGCAGCTTATCAACTGCAAATGTTTGGACAAGTGTAAATAACAACACAATGTTAAATAGGCACCCTGAGATGGGAATACAGATATGAGCTGTACTGTATGTTCTTCACAATCCGAGTTGTATGAATCGCTCTTCAATAAAGTGGTAAAAACTGCCACTCGTTTGTCAAATCTAATACACAAATGACCTACTCCCTTCACTTTTCCATAAATAGCTGATCTTTACCCTTATTTTTAAATCCACAGTGAAAGCATTGGAATACTACATCCCTGGAAATATATATATGTATCTTTCGTGAATCTTAAAAAAAGTAAATAAATTACTTTAAAAATGAAAGTCTAAAATTTTGCATAAGTATATTAGAATTAAGAATAACAACTCAAACTACAAGAGGCTTCTACATATTGTCCAGCATATGATGTAGGAGGCAGAGGAAACCAGTCTAACGTATATTCTGTTATTATAATATAGGATATTTGGTTGGTTGGGTGCTGAACAGATCCCAGCTTAGTGGACCAAAACAAATGTAACCGCTTTTTCATGCAGACTGAAAACCAGCAGAATCATTTATATCTTGTTCATAATAAATCAGTAATATACTGTGACATCTGGAAGTACAGCTGTCCTGAGCTTATGGACTCTGTTATGAATCACACCGACCACCGTGAATCCCTTCAACTGCGTCAAACACTGCTTTTTGAGTTGCATAGTGATGTGTTGGTGTGCATAAAGACCATGCAAGTGCAGCTGCACTTGGCTATTTGGTGAAACCAAAAAAAATATATGGTTATTGCATTTAGATGTACTTAAAGTTGACATCAGTACACAGACCTCTTTAAGGAAAAATCTTTGTATCCCTCATTAAAGTGCTTTAAATGATTGCAGTAGTTTCCTTTAAGAATATCTTTTTAGTTGCTTCTAACTGTCAAAGTATCAAATCTGTTGATATTATAAGGTCAGATTTATTTAAAGCTATGGTTTTAAAGTATAGCATTTTGAACATGAGTTAAGATTTGGCTAATGGCTATATGTTCTCACTGCAGACAACAGATGTTATACTGATTTTCCATCTAATCTGTGTTATGATCCTGGTTCTGTTAAGATTTCTGATAGCTTTCAGTTTCACGTTGATTCAAGTTTTTCTTTTTTTCTAGCTTTATTGGTGTTTTCTGGATATATTTGAGTTCTTAGGTTTTTCTTTGCTTGCCCTCTGTTGCCGGTCTCCTTTTCCCTAGCTCCTTCTAGGAGCCTCTGTTCACACCTGCTCCCAATCAGCTCATTAGTCCTGTCTTTGTTCAGTCTCCCATAAATACTCTGCCTGTGCAGTGTCTCAGTGCTGATTCCCCGTCTTTCTCTGGCTCCTCGTGCATGTTTTCCCAGGTAAAGGTAAATCGAGCAACAGAGTAAGGATGAACAATGATCTAGGTTAGTTTTTTAAGTGCCATGCTCGTTGGTATGTTTGACTAAACTAGAGTCCTAATCTATTGAGATTTTAACACACAACCACATTTCAGATTAAAAGAGGATGGTCTAAAAACTATGAAATATTCAGAAAGAAGCAATAATTGTGTGACAAAATGAATTAGAGAAACTTTGTAATGCTCTTTTGTCAATATTGACCAAAATATTAAGATATTTTTTTCCGACACCCTCTTAATGTACATTGGTGTGAATTTCTGAGTAGGTCAGTGGTGTTGGTGACTAATTATTTTGTGGAAAAAGTTTTGTCTCTGCTGCACTACCTCACTCCACATCACAACCACGACCAGTTCCTGATTGGTAAACGCCACACAAATCAAAAGAGAAAATTAGCTTTTCTTATTATTATTTGGAGGTATTTAAACACTACTTTAACCTACCTGTTATATAACTGACAATGCTTGACAATTATTACTCTCTTAATTTCAGTTTCAAAAGCTGTGCTTAAGTTGTTTAACCAGGTTTTAAAATCTTTTTTTATTGATTTGTTTTTACAAAATGATGCCTTATATTTTAAAGAGCATTATACTAGAAATAACTTTAGAAGCTGCGTGTTATTCATGTTAGTCTGACATAGCAACAATATAAGGTTTCCTCTACATGCCACATCAAACACAAAAGATTTAAAAAAAAGAAAAATCATAGCACCTGTGAAGTAACTTGATGCTGTTTCTAACTTTAGAAAAAAAAGTTTATGAACATCTTGATTAATTTACTAAGATTTTCTTTTACTAAGCTTGTTTTACCTGTTCTTTTTAGTGCAAAAAAGATCAAACGAGGCAGTATAAGGTTTGTGTATCCTACTGCAGCATTTAGGCTGAGTGTGTAAATCTAACTACATAACTGCCACCATTAAAAACTGATAACAAAATGACAGATTTAATTATCTGTCATTGTATCACCTCTGTCACGAAAAGCTCCTCCTACAGCTTTCAGGTGAGGCGAGTTGAATTATTTGAGGCGTTTGAATTTACTAAAAGGAGGTGCATGTTTACTAGTGGTGCTTACCCAGTATCGTGGAACAAGTCTCCAGCAGCAGAAGTTAAAGGATATCACTCAATGTTATCTTAAAGTACCATTCAGTTTGTTAGAGTAATAATGAAATAATGAAACTGCAATACTTGGCTTTTTTGCTGTGGAGGAAAATCACTCACAAAAAGCAACACACCCATATTGATCACTTTAAAAGATGTTGAACTAATTCTAAAAGCACTTCAGACACTTCCCAAAGCTTTTATGTGTGTTTATAGTTTAAATCTATGCTGCAAATTGGAAAACAAAGCCATGTTTTCCAGTTTCATTGCTTTCTTTTTACTCTTTAGCTGCACAACTACTTGATGTCACATAAAAAAGGAATTACCATGATCAAGAATGCAAAGTTTATTCCTTATTAGCACGATCTCTGACTGACTCATTATTGTTGAGCGGCGGTGGTGGTGACTGCTTGCTCCTCATGCTCCTGCCGTCGGTGGCGCCCCTCGATGTCTCCGTCACAAAGAGCCGGGTCACCCAGACAGAGGTGACGATGCGTTTGTACTCGTTCCTGAAATTCCTGTTGAGCAAACCGTAGATGATGGCATTCAGGCAGCTGTTGAAGTAGGCCATGAAGTAGCTTACAACAAAAAGCCACTCTGGGATGTGTGAAGCCACGTGAGTTGGATCTATCGCCACCGCTAGACCTATCAGGTTGAGTGGAGCCCAGCAAATGGCAAACAGAACAAATACTACAAACATGGTGATAAAATTTCGCAAGTCACTGGGTCTGAGGCGAGGGCTGTCTTCAGTCTTCACTTTGCGTCGCACCTGAAAAAGATAAAAGAAGAAACACATTAAAAGAATACATTAAACTTCACTGATAAAAAATTTAATAGACTTACGGACATATCTAGCTTTGCAGTATAAAGCATTTTTTTATTTTAAAAGTCTAAAATAATAAAAAAGTATTGTATTGTGGTAGACCAACAGACATACATACAACATAAGACAAAACAGAAACTTCACCAAAAATGACAGATGATTGGACTGTTTATTGTTAACTTTACAGACTTGATCTTTGTCAAAGGGTATGTTCTGGCCAGGATTGCTGATTTAATCACTTTTTGTGAAGGAGAGTTGAGAAACTACAACACCAAAGGAAAATAAAGTCATCTAATCACAGTTGCATTTTTTTGTTTTTCCAAACTAACCAAAAGTTAAAAAGATATATAATTTAAGGAATATTCATCTGAGGCCAAGCAGAACCCTGGCATTTTCCTTTAATACCAAATTAGAAGCAGTGTATAAAAGAGTGAATATGAAACTTGTGTATCGATTTGATCACGATAGCGTCAACCTGTTCTGATACCAAGGTGATATCATTTTTTGATTGAACTGTTACCAATAATGGAAGGATCCTGTGCTTGAACTGTCAAACCTCCATTTACAGGACAAACCATTACCTTCTTAGTGACAGTAATCATGTGACAGAAGATCTGTAAATGTTTGGCCTACATGCGAACACCAGCATGCTGGGGGGAAGCTTTCAGGAAAGTTGATATGAACAGAGTAAAAACTGACTTAGAATATAAAAGAATTAAAGGTATTGAAAAGGCTACTTTTATCAGGAGAACTATAAACATACAGCCTAATAAAATTAAGGTTCTTTGTAAATTATTGGAAACTGATATTTATGTTCCCTGTTGAATTAAGGGAGTGTTTACACCGGACTCTTTTGGTCTGCTTCAACCTGAACAGCACTGTTTCCCTCTTGTGCAGGTTTCAATAAAATGGTGGTCTTAGTTTGGATACAACAGACTCTGGTGGGATTTGCTTCAAATGTTAACATGAACCGGTCTCGATCTGACCCAGTTACATGAAATATATCACTTTTTGGACGATGCCCCCGAGAAAGCTCTGTAATTATGCTGAAAGTAATAAAGTCTCCGCCTGACAATGATTTTGCAGCTATAATACGAATGTTACAAATATTTAAAATAGATATACTGTATGAGGACTTTGTGATCCTTTTGTGATTTTAATTCTCTGTTACTCTAACCATTACTGTCCAATGGGAGCTATGAACCCATTTTTACAGTTATAGTTAACTTCCAAAACAGTTGAAGTGGAAGCAAACTACCTTAGTTCTTAGTCTTGGTGCAAACCCATACCTGATTGAGTGTAAGCTACTTTGTTTTGAAAAAGAAAAAGGGGGGGACTTTTTTTGGAAAGTTTTACAAAGCTTTTCAAAGAAAAAAAAAATCTAAATTCATTGCAGTAACTGTGTTGAAACATGGTTTAATAAAGACATTGTTTTATAGGGTCCAAACACATATTGGGAGTGGCGGCCTAGTGGTTAGGACAGGGGTCAGCAACCTACGGCTCCACAGCTGAATGCGTCTCTTTAGTGCCCCCCTTGCGGGTCCCTGGTTTGTTTATTTTAATATGCTGTGCAGGAGGTTAAACAGACATTCATTATGCTTTCCAATGCTGTAAACATTTGTATAATAAATACATTTAAACAATATATGTAAACATTTATTTCAACGAACATGTCATAGCCATTGAAATCACTGTTCAAAGCCTGCAACACATGTCTGAGCACGGTGCGGTGCCAGGCAAAGAAAGTGGCGGGTGTGTCTTGGGCCATGGATCCCAAAGGGGAAAAAAGGAAGGTACCTGATGAGAACAGGGGATCCAAAGAAGAATGGACCAAATCATTTGCTTTCATATCAATGTGGAAGGATTGCCTGCATTTTTGCTTTGGCACGAGAATTTGTCAAATATTAAAAATAGTAATTTGGAAAGGCATTTCCAGGGAAGGCTAAATATGCAGCTGATCACAAAGTTGTGAGTGAGAGAAAGAATGCGATTGCAGAACCTCTGGATAAATTAGGAGAGCAAAGATAGATTTAAGAAATGGATTGCATCTCCAAACTCTACTATAGCTGCTAGTTTTGTTTTAAGCATGAAAAATCCATTCACAGTTCGAAAAGGTAGGGCTCTTCTGCAGGTATGTGAATTTTTTTTTTATTTTATCCCCCCAAATCCTCAAAATAAAAATAACACCAAGGAACGCTGGTGACGGAGGATGTTGGATTTTGGGCTTTGAGAGCACTGCTCTGATGGATGTCAGTTCCTGCTTGGTTCCTCGTAACTCAATCAACTCCTCCCAACAGAAACACGTCCACCATTGAAAGATTTCTTTATTTTTTTTCTGTAATTTCATCAATGCAACAAAACTGAAACTGCGCAGTGAAGGGCAGTGACGCAGCGTTCGGTGAAATCTATCACTGCTCGTCCCTCACCTCATGCTACTATGTGACATTTGCTCCAGGATAAACATTTAATCATTAATGCTAATTATATATTTAAGTCCCCGTAGTCCTTTTTTTATAGTGGTCTGATACACTTAGAGCCCGTGTTGCCATACAAGGCTTATAAAACACTTCTACATTTTTGCTGCTCCAGACAGATTTGTTTTTTGTTTTTTTGGTCCAGTATGGCTCTTTGAGCAGTTTGGGTTGCCGACCCCTGGGTTAGGGCATAGAGCTTGGAATTCTGAGGTTCTGAGTTTGAGCCCACTCCCACAGACTGCCACTCTGGGTCCCTGAGCAAAGACCCATAGCTCTGTATTGTTTTAGTGTAATGACAAAAAAAAAGGTTAAAAGAAATTGAAATTGGACAGAGCAAGCTAGATATGTCCATATTCTTTACACTTAAATTCAGCATCACTTCCTGATAGCTGTCACATAAAACCGCAATAACATACACCACAGTGTGTGGTGACAAAATGTGAAAACATTAACAGAGTATTCAAAATGTTAAAAGGCTACTGTATCCATACGATTCATTCTGAACTTTTGATTCCTACATTAATCCCAGTGGGATCTCATTAATCAAATTATATAGTTTTGGCAGCTAAAGGAAAACATGACCATTCATGTGTATGTGTATAAAAAAATTAAATTACTGCACATCATACAGCAACATTCTTTGTTACGTTTTAAATTTTAAAAATGGTTTTGAAACATACCTGAATGACAAGAACCCAAATGCGAAGGTAACAAAAGGTAACTACTGCGATGGGAACCAGAAAGTGAACCACTACCACCGCCACAGTGTAGGAACTGCTGACATTCTGGGCAAAGGTACAGGAGTAGACCCGTGGGTCATAGCGCAGAGAACCAACAAAGAAATTTGGGACGATGGCCACGACCGTGAGCACCCAAATTAAGGCAACAAACAGCAAGGTATTGCGGTAGCTGTACAGTCGGCTGTAGGAGAAGGAGTGGCAGATATAGCAGTATCTGTTCACTGCAATGCCTGTAATGTTGAAGATGGAGCCAATGACACTGAGACCCATAAGGAAACCGCTGACCTGAAAAGAGAAAAAAAGTAGGAAATTTTTCTTAAGCTTCATTGAGAGTGTGCTATAAAGGCATTGGGTTTTTTCACAAAGTAAAGTAATGACTGATGAGGCCTTACCATGCACTGAGTGTTTCCAAGGGCCCAGCCGTCATGAAAGAGAGCGTAGAGGACCAGGGGATAGGGATAGAAGGCTACCACAAGGTCAGCAAACGCCAGACTCACCACGAACACATTACCTGGAGAGGAAACTTACAACATTGAGGTTATCATTTCCCAAGACAATACAGATAAGTCTTCATATTAACAGATTCTTAAATACATTACACAATTATCTCTGCACCTGTTCAAATGTTCCTTCCACCCTGCTTCAATTTATATAGAAAATTGCACAAGTGGTCAGAATTTATCAGGTGGGAGACCTGCAGACTTTCATGATTGTTTCTGGGTGTTAAAGATAAGCACATCCAACCTCAGTTCAAACCAATTTGCACTGCTTTGTCTTGTATCCTGCACCGTCAAAACCGAGTAAATACTAGATGGTTGCATGGGATGTGATTTTCAGCTAGCCTATCTCAGGACGCTCAGCCTTGCATGATTGTTGGCAGAGGAGGCTGAGATTACAAAAGGTTTGTGGCCTTTGCCCCACAGCAGATTGCCTCGCCCTCAACAAAGTTTTATCAGGACAGGCAGAGTTCGTGTTTTGACAGAGCGAGGCGAAAAGCATGTGGACAAAGCACTCAGGGCATACAGGTCTTTTTTCATCTAGCTGCTACCCAGCCTAATCCAAAGAGAATTGTTCACAAAATCCAGTCAGTGCATCAGGGAAATAGCACTTTCTTTTTTATTTTTTTTATATAAGCCTTTCATAAGCTTTTCAAAGAAAACCAGCAAAACCTCTATTTCCAAAATGTATAATTAGTTCCTTATGAGTTGCTTATTTATGAGTGAACCAGTCTATCAGTGGCCATATGACATTTAATCATATTTAAACAGTTGTGCACTATAGTAATGACATTCCACACTTTGCTGACACACTCGTGTCACCGCCAATACTGGCAGCTTCATCTACCTGTGTGTTTGTCCTCTTCCTTTTGTTTGTTGGGGGAGGACATGTTATAGCAGCGCGCAGCGGCAAGATAAACAACCCGATCAAAATAGCAGACTCTATCATTGGCTCACCTCCAAGATCTTTAGAGGTTATGTTAGGAAAGAACCTGAAATATAAGAACACTGCCTTCTTGATTACTTTAACACTTTCACAGCTGCTTATCTAACTATATAAAAGACAAACTGATTATGAGATATTTGGGCATGATGTTAATATCAACCTTTTTTATTAAAGGTTATTTAACATGTTCATGGTAATACATTAAATTAGACATTGTGTGTTTATTTAAGCTTTATATCTACAAGGTGGTATCTGCACTTTTTCAAGACCAGGAAGGTATGTTTTATAACTAAAAATACTGAAAAAAAATAAAGGATGGACTAATCATTAAAATCTAAATGACATTTTTAAATCAGGAACTTTTTATCAAGCTCAGATATTAATACCTTTTTGTGGTAAAATATGTGTCATGCTTAGCATGAGCCATTTTTAGCACCCACTGCATATTTTGTCATGTGCAGCCTCAAAAGAATAAGTTGCATTTTTTGTTGATTGAATCTGTTTTTTGCTAGGAAAATAAGCCTTTTTGATGATGTTCCCTGAGAATGAGAGCAAGCAGCAGCTCCCTTTCTGTACACTCGAGTTTACAGTGTACAGATGGAATTAACATTTTCTTAACACGAGCTGGATCTGATTCATTTGAAGTGATCAAATCAGAATTATTTAGAAATAAATATCTATAAATAACACTGTGTTTTACAGCTATTTAAATCTCAAAATTGCATCTATAGGATTATTATGTTTTCACTAGATTTTGTCTACTGTTCATTACACTGGCTAGTACACATTGTCTTGTTGAACCGAATACAACAAACTCAAGCAAGTAGAATATTCCAATAGTCAACTAAAACAGCCACTCACACCAAACTGAGAACCAGGCACACGCACTGAAGTAGGACTTCTTTTTCTCAATAGAATAGAAATTATTCTCAGCTGTAAAAGAATCTTTAAAAGCTTTCTGAAATTTTGCAGGAAAAACATTGAGCTCGTCCCAAATAATTGAATACTTGAAGCAATGTGGAAAAATGTAAGAAGTAATGACAACGCATAATGGCTGCCACAGATAAACACAAACATTAATTAAACACATGTCCAAGACAATGAGGAAGACAGTGCATCATGGCTGCACCAAGACCCTTCATTCTGATACAAGAAAAGAGCCTGAAACATTTAAATGCAAAAAATTTCATTAAAAAGGTTTCCGATGGAACAAGACAATTGACATTTAAAAAAAGAAAAAAAAAAACAATTGCATTGTCTTATTTCATGAGCATATGATCTACAGTAATTATCTTATTTTAAGAATAAAAATACTAATTCCATTGGTAAATCATCTTATTTAACTAGCCAAATTAAGGGTAAATACACTTAATTTAAGGATCTTTTACTTATTTCTTGATCATTTTTGCTGTGTTCTGCAGTTCCTCTTGATGGAGCTTTCCTCAGGCCCAAATTAGTTTCAAAACCCCTAAAGAATTAACAGATTAGATCTTTGTTTTCAGCACTTTGACCCTCCCTTAGAGTTTTTGTTTTCATATATTTTGTGAAAAATGCTTGAACTTATGATGTCAGAGAATATCTTAGTTTTGAAATCATGAATCCATGCCTCTAATAATAGAAAATTATACATTTTCTAACAAAATTTCCACCTTTTAAGAACAGAGAAAATCCAGATTGCTTTAATATAAATTTGGGAGTTTTCTGGTGGACACTTAAGACTCTGTTACCACTTTTCCTTTTCCTGCAAATGCCCCTAAAACTGTGTTGTATAAAATGAAAAATATATCACTGCAATGAAAAATTTTTACTCTACCACAAGTAACTTCAAAAATAATGATAATCTAAATTTAAAGTTCAAATAGAAAACACTTATAGTTTCTTATTTGTGTCATACTGCAGGCCTGGTGTCTCTCTCTCTCTGTCTTTGATATATAAAAAAATTAAATATATCACAAGTGAAAAAATGTCCAGCATTTTGGTGTTTATAGCATAAAATAATTCACTAAGATAGCAGACGACGTTAAATTCCTCATTCGGGCACGTGACCCACTGAGGGGCTGTAAATAATGTCATGATGTTAGTTTAGTCAATAAGTAGTCATTTTACATAGTGAGTCAATATTTATTCACCTTTTTGATGGAGTTATTATCCTTAAACAAATACGAATACGAAGCAATCAGTGTCTTAGTGGTTTTATTAATGCTCGCTGGTTTATTCATCGCTGCTAAATGACAGGGAAGGCAGTCCCTCTGTAACCCGATCGCAGCGAGCAGTCCAAGCACAGGATCCTTTCTGCTGTCCGGGTAGGGTAGGAAACATTGCCCTTTGGATATGGTTTTTTACCCGGTTCAGCTCATGTCTCCTGGCCAATCGGGTTCGAGCTGTGGGTCTCCGCCTATGGTAACTGTTATCCATCGTGGTTCTTGTTGTTCTGGAGCCCAGACCATAATGATATGAAAATCCGTCTGGAGCTGCCGCTAAACTAAACGCTGCAACTACCTAGGGTTCATTGTTTTATGAAATAAAATATTTTATAAAAAAAATTAACAATGCTTTGAATCAGCTTTTTTGCCATCAGGTACTTTATTAAAGCTATACAACAGAGAAAACAAGCTGTTAGCATTTTTGGTATACTGAATCCAACTAATGCTGTGAGAGTAGGATTGATGATAAAAGAATCTGTCAGGAAGTGATCCGAACATAGTTTGCTGTATCGTTTTGGGAGCCACAGATTGTCCGGTTGCTTTTTGTCTAACCTATTTACTTTCCGGATCGAAATTTGACGCAAAACCGGGTCCTTCGGATAATTAAACATTATTTTTCTTGATCTAATACCATTCCTACAATTGGCAGCATTACAAAACACCCTTTTAATGGAATTTCAATGATCCTTTCAGATTGCTTAACAATGCATGAAGTAGTGGTTCTATACAACCGCCTGAGGACTTTTGACTACGCTGACGTCACAGCTGTGTCTCTTCATGTGACTGCTCTAGAGAGCCAGCATACTGTAAAATTCTCTCGATTTTTATTACTTGGAGCACTTTTAGCATGATTTAGACCAGCCGCAAAGACAAAAGAAAGGATCATCTAAAATTTTAAAAACACAATAAAACTGCACTAGATGCACTCCTTTCTATTTTACTTTAAGGCCAACAAAACCCTTATGATCTGTGGAATTATGAAATTCAGTTTGTCTCTCATATTTCAAAGACATTTCACATTTATGAAGCCAAAATGATAAATTTCCTGTGTGACACCTAACTGCATAGGATATTTTGGATATACAGTACAGATAATCTAGTGATAGCTAGGAAATTATAGATGTATGTAATGTAATACGTAATGTTTTGTTTTGCAAGTGTGCATGACAATTTTCGCATGTTTAATTTACTCTTCTTTTTTTACCAACAGTTTCTGCTGTTTTCTTTTTTTAATAATTGAATTAATTAGCATCCTTTATCAGTAATTACTCTTTCAAAATTCACACTATTGGGGAATTTAGACCCATCAGTCGGACTATCATGCATGTTAGGACAGCAGGGGGTAGATGGAGGGCCTGGAGCAAACCCACACATACTTGGCAAAAACAGACAAAAAATAAATAAATAAAACAACTACACTCTATCTAAAAACCAATACATTTAACAAGTTGGCAGTATTTCATTTTCATTTTTGTATGCTGTTTCATTTTAAATTTAAGATGGCGCTGTTTCTCCCTGTTTCTTTTGTATTAGATACTATCTATTGGAAATAAACATTACATTGTCCTTGCTTCTCTCCTGCTGTATAACTACAAACAGCAAACAATTCACATTCCCATTTTTGCATCTTTGTTTAGTTGCAAAGTTAGTATTCAAGCCACTGCACATGAGCTGTCGGCTCTCCAAAAGGATGCAATGCCTTATTTTGATGTTGTATTTGTCAGGGGCAACAAACAACTACCTGATGTAACAGAGCTCACCTTGTGTTTCACCTGCCAGTTCATGAAAAGCTCATTTTCTGGGCAGCAGTTGTTCTCCAGAGGTGCAACTGATATTTCCAACCATCAGACTACTATATAATAAT